CCCAGTAGCAGTAGGCTAGGTCTAGGCCGGTACCAGTCCATCCAGTCTGAGTCTAGAGCCTGTACGGGCAATATCAGAGTCTGCAATGATGTTTCCCTCCGAAAGGGAGGAGGTACCGGTTGCTTGGGAGGCCGAGCGGCCTGGAAGTCACCGCCCAAGAGGCAAGCAGGCCGCTATATCAAGAGGCTGAGGCAAGAGCTCGGCCTCATTCTTCAGTGTGCAAGTTTGGCAACACGCTGCTGGAGCGCTGGCTGAAGTGGCGCTGGGTACTACAGCGCTGCTGGGAGGAAGAAGCCGGGAGCTTGCACCTTGGCTATGGTGGAGCTCTACCGGTAGGAGGAGGAGGGAGAAGGGGAGCAAGGAGGAGAGTGGCGGGGTACTTACCTGGCTATGGTAGACACCATCTTCATCACCTTGTTAGGCGCTGCATCTGGAAGGCCCCAGTGGGGGTAGTGCCGCATGAAGGAAGCTCGGGACAGGGTCAGGCATGGCGGTTGAGTAGGCAGCGGCATAGCTGCAGGGAGTTGACCTGGGGACAGAAGGGCAGCGACATAGCTGCTTTCGGTTTTCCTTTGGACAGGAGGGAGAACCCTCAGTACTCCGCCATAGCCTCGGCCTGTATGTAGAGGAAGAGGAAGGGTGGCCATGGCTATGGTGGACCTCATGTTGTGCCTGCAGTAGAAGTGGGATTCAGACATTGATTCTGGTTCAGCCATTCAACATTATTATTGTTATTTCTTGTTTGAATAAGAGAGGAGGAGATTGGTTGGCGAGGAAGAAGAGCCTTGTCATTGGTCTATGCTGGAGTACATCATCTTCTTCTTCTTTCTTACTTCTTCTTCTTCTTCTTTCCCTCTCTCCTCTCAAGTTCATTCATTTCTTTTTGCAATTGGACGGCATTGTACTTTCTGATGTTTGTATACTTCGAAATTGGCCAGGATCGTAACAAAAATAAAATAAAAATCCTGGGACGTTTTTTGGCTCGTCTGGTTTTGCCAGAAGGACCCCCCCGGTCAGTCGGCCTGGTCCGTCCGGACCGAGCGTCGGCCTAACCCAGAGTTTTACTGGAATTCCAGAATGAAGAAATCTCTTTCTGAAGTGTGCAACATTGTTCTCCAACCTTTGTTCGATGTGATACAAACAGCTTCCTCAACCAAGGCTCAACTGACAATTAGCCGCCAAGGCATTGTCTTTTCAGGAACATGTAGCATAGAAGGGCTTCAAGCTAGACGTCTGAGTATCTGCATAGTGAATTCCTATTTCCCTTGTATTTACATTTTGAACTTACAGATTACTAATGCCAACAACCTTGACTCAAGTTGGCACCTTGGTTCAGACAATTCTGCTGAGGTGCAGTCCTCATTCCTGAATTCGAGTTCATTGCTGCTGAAATCCTGGGCTTCCAATTCCACCCTGGATCAGTCTGATCTACACCAGTCCCTCCTCTCCTCCCTGTCCTCCCTCCGTCCCTCAGCCCATCCGTGTTGTCTTCATTTGTGTGGCCTGCATTTTTCACCCCCTTGCCAACATTACTCATGAGTCCCGCTTCAAAAAATAACAGTGCCAATACGAAAAAAGGACAAAGGGATGTGATATGAGGAGAGGTTGAAGCATTCAAGATATGCGGGAAGAGTGGCAGAGAGGATGTGAAACAAAATGGTCAGCTAAAACACGGATAACAGAAAGCTCATTCCCTTCCCGCAGCATACACACACACTCGGAAGACAGCAGACAAACAGGGTGGCAGGCAAGGAGACATAGACAGACCCCAAACATGAAACAGCCCTGTGTAGGGCAAGCTCAGAGACTACCAGAGACAAGAAGAGGAAGAGGGCCGAGTGTGTAAGCTTGAGATAGCTACATAAAATAAGATCCTGATGTCTGCCATTTACCTTCACAGAGAAAAAATTGCAGTTGCCCGTCAAAGTCCTGACTCACACAGACGCCAAGCATATTGATGTCATCAGTTTTACCCTCATGTGTGCCTCACTTACATATAAGAACAAAATATTCATCTCCGTTGTAGAAGATACCATTTCAGAATGCATGCGAACGGTGGGGAGCGGACCAAAAACTAAACTCTCCTAATCCCAACTGCCTTCCACCTTTGCTGTTCAAGCGATCAAGAATCATGAACACATTTTTTTTTGCTTACTCTGAGTAGACTCCAAGAAACAAGTACACAACAATGCGAAGACAGATAGCCACACTATATCAAAAGTGGCAAAGCCAGTCCAAGCACATGATGCATTTTGAGGCAACTTTCATGGGTGGCGTAGAAAGTACATAGTTTCCCCTGCACATGGAGGGACAGGAAATGAATAGAATATGGGTGAGGATGGTGGCGCAAGGGTTCCTTGGGAAGGCAACCAGCAATCAGGGACCACTTTGGGCTTCAACTGGGAAGTACTGCAGGACTCTGAGAGTGGATATCAATTCTGCACCTTTTCGACCAAGACCACAACCAACCATCATCCAGACAAAATAACATCCAAAACTGGCAGTTTGCGCACTTGATGCAGAGCAAGGACAGCAGACAGAGGATTACAGATAGAAAGTGAAATGGCCAAGAAAGTCAAAGCCCTTGAAAGTTCGTTTCACTGCATTCACTTTTATGCGGGTGAAAAAGGACAGAGACCTCTGCCCAGTCTGGGAGGCGGGATGGGGTGAGTCGGCAGAAACATTTTGATCCTATACCCACGGCTGGTAAGGCAGGGTGGAGAGCCCTACAACAGACTGTTGCAATCAACTACAGCAGCGTTTTTTTCCTGTTTCCTTTTCTCCACGTTCAACTTCGCTCTTTCATTCAAGTTTTAGCTGGCATACTGCAGCACATATCACGTCACTTTCTCAGAAACCAACTGCTTACACCATCAGCTATCAGAACACAGCAGTTCTCAAATGTGCTCCGGCTCATCGCAGGTGTGAATATCGATGCCTCATGAGAAGTGATACTCCAAAGAAAATGGGAGCCGGGGCAATAGGATGAGAGCCAAAGAAGTAAGATGCAACATGGGAAGAGGGGAAACTGAGGGGGGAAGCGAATGGGAAGGGAGTGAGAAAGAGATCCTGAGGCAGTTCTAGAATCATGATCACAAAAAAATAGAAAAAATGGAAGCCAGGGACTCCATCGGTACTCGTACACAGGCAAACAATAGAGTGGATCACATCCCAAAAGTCAAGAAAGATATCCACATTCTAGAGAAAGCCAGTCATGATCCAAAAACCTGAGATAACAAGTGAGCACCTTCGTGCTGTCCTGCCACTCAGAAAAAAAAGCCCACGGAACTGGATCACCCTCGAAGAAAGCGATTCTCTATTTCTCAGCTCCCACTGTCCAGACAGAATGTGAAAATGAAATTTCGTTTTATGCTTCAGATGTCAAAGCCCATAAACATCACCACAGGCATTGACTAGCTTGCTGACCAAGGAAACCAAAAGCAACAGTCAACAGGACCCACCTTGAAGCACCCACCATTTGCAACAGTGGCCTCTTCTAAATCAGACCTTCAAAGCACCAAACTCAGGATTGGAATTCCTACATCAGTCTCTGACAACAGATGCGGTAGCTAATCCGTCACGGTGCTTGGCAGAAACATGCTCCCGTCACAGCAGTCCTCTTCAGTGAATCATAAACCTGCTCTATTCCACACGTGAAATAGGCAATGGGTGGTCTCCTCAATACCCCCGACAACCCCAGCCTTTGACAAAGATGGAACTGGAGGGAAGACGTATAACAAAAGGACATTGATGGTAAAATGGGGCCATTTCCAGGACGCGGAATGTTACGACACGAAAGGGAGCACACAGGTAACAGGGAGAAAAGAAACGTTCAAGCAGCGACATGCACACATGAAAACAAGGAAAGAGACAAGCAAGGTTGGGGGCTCAGTGAGAGAAGGTAGTACAATTCAAAGAAGGGTCGAACAGGGACAAAATAACACACACAAACCGGGAAACGAACACGTACATACACAGGCACAAAGACCCACAAAATAAATACAGGGAGTAGGCCTGTGTTTTTGTGTGTGTGTGTGTGTGTTGTGTGTGTGTGTGTGTGTGTGTGTGAGTGTGTGTGTGTGTGTGTGTGTGTGTGTGTGTGTGTGCGTGTGTGCGCGCGCGTGTGCGTGTGTGTG